AATAGATGACTTTAGAAAATGTTCAAATGCTAGTTTTTTTCAATCACTAGAAACCTGAGAAAGTAACCACATCCTAGAAATAGTGAGGAGCTAATATCACCGTAGATGTGCATAAAATATCTTCGGGCTCTCTGAGAAGCCCACCCAGGCGAAATTCCGTTTTTTTTTTTTTTTTCTGCGCAGAATGAGAGAGAAGACAAGTAGCTTTAGGCTTTTGCTAACCCCATGGATTTTACCGCGTTTCTTGATGATCTGTCACTCTGCTGCACTGCCCGTTCTGAATAGAATACCTAAAAATAAACACCCATCCAAACAACTCGAATTACAAAAGGTAAAATCATTAAGAATCCTCTTCTGTTTCAATGCGGAGAACTTATGAATGAAATACGGCTTGATTTATTTATTTTTTAAGTCGGAGCTGGGATTCCGTGCGATGAATGACTGTGAATCCCTTGTAATGTCCCCGGAGTTGGGATTCTGTCCGATGACTGTCAATCCCTTCTACTGTCGCAGTAATTGCCAGCATGAAATACAGCTTGAAATTTCCAAACACAACACGATTCTACAGACAAATTGAATAAGCTGCTCCTGAAAAACATCCCATGGCTGCTAATATTGCCCCTGTCTGAATTGAGCTGAGAGAGGGCGTGCCTGCAGGCCCTGCACTACACAGCAAACTACATGTATGTGGACTAAGTTATTGATCAGTGGAAATGTACCTGGTCTAGCAACCAGTCCAGATTCATGTCCAATCTTAAGTAGTTGAGCGAGACCTAAAAGTCTCCACACAACTCTTCTTGACCGAATCTCCGTACTCTTCTGCCCATCCAAGCGATCCAGAACCCTTGGGTCCTGAATTTGCTTATGAGAGCCTTGTCCTCCCTTTCCACGTTGGCTGTAATCCTGCACATGAGGCCTAGCTCCCGACTCCACACAGGGGTTTCCCGTTCACCCACTACTCCTATTTTCCACCCCTCTATGCAGTGAAGTTCCCCCATATGTCTATGCCTTGGAGGCATGATGAATCTTACGGGCATTACCGCAAATGTACAGAGTCTTCTAGACGAGGATGAGGGTGGGAGCGGCAGAGAGAATTCACACTCCAAATTCACACCGTTGATATAGTTCAACCGAAAGGGTGCAGGATGGAGTGGCCCCCCAGATCTGAGCGCAAATTTCCAACCCCTACGGCTTTTGGCTGGCCGCTGACAAGTGCGACGCCGAGTACTGTTCTGCTGTTAGACAGGTAGGGGGTGCAGATGAAAGCTATCACAACTTTTGAGAAATTGGGGAAGAAGGTCCCTGTTGGAGCATGCCTCTACAACACTAAATATTTCTGAAAAACCGTCCTTTCAAGTGCTAATTTGAGAAAAAAAAACATTATTTAAAATGATTAAAGTCCTGTTGATTTTGTACAAATTTGAAATGTCGTAATTCACCTTGAGATAAACATAAACAATATATGAAGCTATTAAGAAATAAACAAATGCTGGAATGCTCAGAAGATTTTCCAAAAACCCTCTTCGCCCCTGTCACCACTTTCTCCACAGGTTGCAGATTTGCCGGAAGCTTGCACGCTCCCAGTTTTGCCGTGTGTCCACCGACGACCTCCCCAGCAATATACCGATCCTTCCTTCTTAGCGGTCAATCTCCATGAACTACGGCCAGAAACGTAAAATGCCGGGAAGTGGCTCTCTCCCCCCCTTCCTGAACGACGTAGAAGCCAACATGATTGGCAATAAGCCGATTCTTCCACCGTCAAAGCTGATGTCAAGTGTACTCATTGCGAGTACCAAAACAAAAATACAGAATACGGACACCGTCCGCGCTTGAGCTTCCCATGAAACTACTATTCCGCGCGGTTTGTTACGTAGGTCATGCCATCATGGTACCTTTCAAGCCGAGTGTGTGTGTGTGTGTGTGTGTGTGTGTGTGTGTGTGTGTGTGTGTGAGA